TTGCCTCGTGTTATTGAAAGACTGAAATGTTAAGCTTGACACAAACACAGCGGTATTTCTGACAGAACACGTGCTACACAATCTATTTAGTTCGTATTAAAACGTATCACACTATAATGGAATTTTTGGAGACATTTGCTTTAGATGTTTTTATTGTCATGGTTTAAATCATTTGCGCTGAGTTTACTAACTAATATTACAAGAAAACAAATATGTTGGTTATATTAATCGTTTTATCATTTTCCTAACACTATTAATTATTGGCCTAATTTCCTGTAAACGGCTCTCCAAAGAAATTGGTACTTCTATGTTGGTATATCGGTAGCATAACTGGAATACAGATACATTTGTAATCAAACCCACATACTGTGAATGATTAGTGGGAACTCCCTCAGAAATGGGTGTCACAAGGTGGAGCCATCGTATTGCTCCTCTTTTATTAGCGTTGGGGATAATCTACTTATTTTCAAAAGACACCTCAAAACGTGTATTACGAAGCCATACAGAATCAGCGTTAATCTTATGTACGTGGGTATACGTATCCCCAGTACTGCGAACACACTGAACTGTTTACCGACACAACGCTTCACTGACGTGGGTATACGTATCCCCAGGACTGCGAACACACTGAACTGTTTACCGATACAACGCTTTACTGACGTGGGTATACGTATTCCCATGACTGCGAACACACTGAACTGTTTACCGATACAACGGTTCACTGACGTGGGTATACGTATTCCCATGACTGCGAACACACTGAACTGTTTACCGATACAACGCTTCACTGACGTAGGTATACGTATCACCAGGACTGTGAACAAACGTAACTATTTACCGATACAACGCTTTACTGACGTGGATATACGTATCCCCAGGACTGTGAACAAACGTAACTGTTTACCGATACAACGCTTTACTGACGTGGGTATACGTATCCCCAGGACTGCGAACACACTGAACTGTTTACCGATACAACGCTTCACTGACGTGGATATACGTATCCCCAGGACTGTGAACAAACGTAACTGTTTACCGATACAACGCTTTACTGACGTGGGTATAACGTATTCCTGCGTGGATGTTCGTATTTTTATAAAGTCTCGTAATTATCAAGTTTGATTTTTCTACAGAGAACGTTCACATAATTCTTAGTATTCAATATAGATAGCATAAAACGTCAGTTCCCCAAAATAAAGAATCGTGTTCAGTTATAAAATCAAACAAAACACAAATTCCTCACCGAATTTCTTTTACACTGTGTGTAATCCGATAAACACCATACTTATAATGACATTAGAACATAGTTGCACTTTAAGCGTAGAGAATGTCGTAGTAATACTACGCTCAGTGGCATTTTATCTAATTGATACCAATTTAGCCGTTAATATCTGGTCTAAACGTTGGATATTTTCCAGAAATTATTACCTAGTGCTAGTTCACGAGTTCTTAAACTTGCTTGTTGACGGCTACATTAAGCATGCCTGTTAGTGTTCTAGTTCACTAGAAATTCCGAGTGGGGGCGCTCGACAGTTTGGTTGAAATTTTCAGGTTAATGGTTTCTTTTGATCGTTTTCACGAGTTTCTAAAGTAGAAATTTTTGACGATGACCTGATTAACCGATGTGAACGACCCTCTCCTGTGTGACGTGTCCCACATACCGCTCAGATGGTTGAAAAGAACGGGTTAGGGCAGTGCTCGTGTTGGGAGTGGGAAAATATTTGACTACTAATATACTCGATGATCTCAGGTTGGAATGGTCGTTTCACTTTAGAAACTGATAGTGCAAGAATATATACATTTCTTGCGTAGTTGGGGCACAAGTGGACACTTTCTCATAGTAGGGGGACAAGGTCACAACAGAATGCGATTGCAATAACGAAATTAGGCGCAGAATTGGCTAAACTAAAAGCGCGTCCCAGAAGCTCCACCCTTCTGAAGCCACCCCCCCCCCCTCAATGGCATAGCGGTATGCCGAGCACAGATTGTCCTTTGTGTAGCTTTATGCTTAACTACAAAACAAACAATCAAACCCTTCTGAGAAGCTCCAACATCAAGAACATCTTTTAACATTGGATGCAACGATAGGACAGTGAAGAAGGTAGATTATCGGAGGCCTTTTATTTAAAGTAGGAGGGCCTGGTTCCAGGGAAGTGGTTCAGAAGACTCGGTGTGTGGGGGACAACATGGAGTTTTGAGTATGGGTTACAATGGTGGAGGCTTAAAAGAAGACAGGGATCTGTGATCCGTATCATGTTTGGTCTTATCTTTGCAATAGTTCAATGTTTCAAAGTTATACATTGAATTGAAGCCTAAAACATTCTCTGTCAATGTATACCGTTCTTGTCGTACTGAAATATGATTCGTTACGTTCTGAGTGATGAGACGACAAACTTGCTCGTTTAATATCCTTAAGATTAACACAGTTCAGACTGACGACAGCCCTTATTGATTGAAAGTAAAGATACTTCCCAAGTACTCTCAGTTTCCATCAACCCGTGCCCATTTTATGAAGCCCGTTTCCATCAGAAGTTCATCACAACATTCACGTTTTTTTTTGTTTTCTTTATGACACTCACTACCTTTATCTGGCGCCATTTTTATCTACTCTGTAAATGAAGAGGTCAGGCAGGAGTGGTTGGAATCCCAACATGTCTGTTCCTTGCACTATACTGTAGTGAACGTACCCTAGTGGCTCAACGGTAAGTTTAAGAGCTTATAACGTTAAAAATCTGGTTTCGATACCCACTGTGAGTAGAATACAGATAATGTCCCATTGTGTTGAACTTAACAACAAACAACTGCAGTGAACTGAGTTAGATAGTAAGACTTCATTGTCGATTATCACACAATTAAACATCATCAAGGAGAAATCTTTGGAAAACTAGTTCTACCCAAATATTTCATGGCAAAAATACCCTCATTCTTTCAATTGAAAGAACTCTGTTGAAAAACAACAACTTTTTTTTAACGAATTCACGAAAGTAACAAAAAACCGGAAAACACACTCATGATGGGTCTTTGTTAAATACATTTTCTGTGTTGGAGAAGGCGTATAATCATTTTGTCAGTGGATTCAGAGCTCGTCTCCTCGAATTTTACAAACGTATAATATTCACTATGGTAGGTGAATATTATAGATGTATTTACATAAATGGGAACTATGAATGTCATCATAGTTTCAATCTCATGGCAACAATATTTTTCCAATTCCAAAGATGATGAAACAAATATATAATCTTATTCATGACGTGTAAGTATCGAGGTTATATAAATCATGGTATCAAAATAATTATTTCTCTCAAGAAAGTCGGGTCGCTGGTTTCTTCACAGGGCAGGATTTCTCAAAAGATGTAATTATCAAGAGCCACTACAAATTTTCTAAACCCTTACTCTTACTAGAGCAGACAACGCGATATTGTGTATAAAAAATGTTGTATTCAGTTTTTAAATAATTACGTTAATGTATATTGCAGTACAGTATAAAGTAGAAAATCTTCCCCCAAAAAAGTTTCTCGTGAGAAACCCCAAGGGTCCTCGCGGCACCGATATTCCTGATGAAAGTTAGCCCTGAAAGATCGTGCAGCATATACGTGCAGTGTTGCTTGAAACCCCCCTCAGTCCACGACCTGACTTTTGGCAAAAGACCCGCCCTCTGCTCGTGACAAGTTGGGTTATTATTTGAAATCTCCGAGGGCAATGGCCGGACTGGTACTCGGACGTTACATGTTTGATATTGTAGATACTAAAGTATATAGAACAATACTCTAGCCCATATGTTAATCACAGGGTTCATTGTCTTCTTGTGGGTTGGCTTAGAAACGTTAAATATATAAAAGTTCTATCTTCCATGACTACCTTTTCCGTGTACCCTCCCACTTGTACCACTGTCGTTGTTGTTTCAACTGCACGTTGGTCTCTCTGTTAAGTTATTATGGGATATGATATTTTTTCTTTTGCGCATTGATATTTAACTCGTGACCTAACTAGCTACTGTTAGATGTGGTTATTTTTAACTCAAGTGTTACACGTCTTGGAAACGCGTGTAGCAGTGAAAGTTTGGGAAGGCAGACCTGTCGATGTTTGCTGCTGTTTCTCTACAGATACCTTATTTAGGGTTAAAACACTATTGTTACAAAGGTATCTTATTTAGGATTAAAACACACTATGGCCAAGTGGTGAGGGCGCTCGACTCGCAATCTGTGGGTCGTGGGTTCGAATCCCCCTTCACACCAAACATGTTCGCCCCTTTCAGCCGTGGGGCGTTACAATGTGACGGTTAATCCCACTATTCGTTGGTTAAAGAGTAGCCCAAGAGTTGGCGGTGGGTGGTGATGACTAGCTGCCTTCCCTCTAGTCTTACACTGCTAAATTAGGGACGGCTAGTGTAGATATCCCTCTTGTGGCGCTTTGCGCGAAATTCATAACAAGCCAAACCAAAACACACTATTGTTACAAAGGTACCTTATTTAGGGTTAAAACATATTATGGACTATTGTTACAAATTATATAGATGTACGTTAACACTGAGATTGGGTATGTAGGATTTTCAGATGATCTGTTGTTCAACTTTTATATTCAAATTTGTTAGACCATAGTATGATCGGTTACATAATTCAAAATAGAATAATTTACGTTGAGGTACTTCATATTTCAAAACTTTGTTACACGTGTGAAAGTTTTCAGGCATAACAGATTGTGTCCACACCCACAATCTTCAACAGACTTCTGGACAGTTATGTACCAGTATTTGATGTCATATTTTGCAATTAATTCTAAAGACGTATGAGTGAAAGTAAATCAGAATTATACCAACTATACTACATCTGCTGTATCTAGGGCCGACGAAGCCTTTTGCCTAGTACCAGAACTCATTAGACTGGCTGGGATGAGATAGAAATAAGTGGTCTAGACTTTATTTATATTTAAGTCATTTAAAAATCAGATTTCTAGGTCTGAATTAATAAGTTTATTAAGCCTGACTGTGTTGTTTTTCCTAGGGGTAAGTTTGCAACTGTTCGTCGCTGCAGAAACAGAGAAACGGGTGTGGACTATGCGGCGAAGTGTATTCGGAAACGTCGACGAGCAGTAGATGTTAGACATGAGATAATGCACGAAATGTTTGTATTAAAACAGAGCGAACACTGTCCCCATATTATACGTCTTCACGAAGTGTACGAATCGTCGACGGAAGTTATTTTCGTATTGGAAATGTAAGTTGTTTTTCAACAAGATATGGACTTTTAACCGGATTACTCGTTAAAATAAGTGTAAGTTGTTTTTCAACAAGATATGGACTTTTAACCGGATTACTCACTAAAATAAGTGTAAGTTGTTTTTCAACAAGATATGGGCTTTTAACCGGATTACTTGTTAAAATAAGTTTAAGTTGTGTTTCAAAAGGATGTGGGCTTTTAACCGATTACTCGTTAAAATAAGTGTAAGTTGTGTTTCAACAGGATATGGACTTTTAACCGGATTACTCGTTAAAATAAGTGTAAGTTGTGTTTCAACAGAATATGGACTTTTAACCGGATTA